CAACTGAATAACTGTGTCAGGCAACATGCTAAATGTTGAGGACACAGACAACAGTCCCTGCCCTCAAGATGTTTACATTCCAACAGGAGAAGCAACATGTAGGGATGCCCATATGCATGTGCACACATAAACACATGATGAATACAAGATGGTTTGGGGAGGGAGAGCATAGCAGCTGGGAGTATCAATAAAGGCTTCATATAGAAGGAGGAACTTGAGTTGAACCTTGAATGAAGCCAGGGAGGCAGCAACAAGGAGAGAGAGCATTCTAGTGTTGGACTACCAGTGCAAAGGAATAGAGGAGATAGAACATCATATGTGAGAAACAGCAAGTAGACCAGAATGGCCGGTCCATAGAGTACCTGGAGGGGAGTAATGTATATAAAGAGCTTATTAAATGCTGGGAAGAAGAGTTTATAGTTGACTCTAGAGATAATAGCCACTTGGTTTTTTGGTTTTTGGTTTTGTGGGGTTTTTTTTGTTTGCTTGTCTTCCAGTAAGTAATGACATGGTAAACATGTGCCTTATAGGAAAATCACTTTGGCAGCTGTATGGAGGATAGATTAGAGAGAGAGAGACTGAGAGATTTAAGGCTGGGAGACCAGTTAAGACTCTTCGAGTAATCTAATCAAGAAGTGATATGAAGTTAGAAACAAAAAGAGTCATTAGATTTGGAATATTGTCTCATTTTATATATCTCTCTGTTAAAGGTCAAATTTTCTTGTTTGTAATAAGATCAACTCTTTGGTTGTTACTCATATTTTGTGCATTTTTGTACAAACATCTGAAGCTGTGAGTTTTGTTGGTGGATCTTTTTTTGGACTTTGACTTTTATAGATTTCTGCAAGTCTCTCTTACTGTTTTTCCTACTTGTCACTGCTAGGCACTATGGTCGCTTGGTAGAATTCATATATTCAACATATTTACCTCTTCTGCCAAAGCCAAGCTGTGTCCCACCCCCTCAGTTGACAATTATTTCACTTGCTTCAGATTTATCTAGCTCATACTTTGTATTTTCTATGCTATTTGTGTACATATTGTGTCCATTCATCCTTCCTCCCCTATTAGATCATAAGCTCCATGAGAGTAAGAACCATGTTTTGTTTGTTTTTCAAATCTTAATATCCTTAGAACCTAGCACAGTGCTTTGTAATAAGGACTCAAGAAGTGTGTATTGGATTATATCGACAAGAGAGTCCTCTTGTTGAGTTTTTTGTTTGTTTTGTTTTATAATTCCTTAATTAGACCCTTTAAAGTTAGAGATGACCAAGTACATTCCATCAAAGTGTATTAAGAGCTGTGGATAAAATAGGATACATCAAAATATCTCCCTATATATTATGGTCATGTGAGATTAATTTGTCCTCTCTTTTTGCACATTGACTTTTGCTTCAACAAAAGAGCATGTTCTGTATTGTAGACCTAAGATTATGGGAAATAAATATCTCAGCATCTGAAAATAGCCCCCTTGGAAGATCTCCATTGAACTTGGAGAATAGCATTTGAAAATATTAAAAATCAAAGAAAACATGAATTTATGTATAATGTAAGAGCACATTCAAATTGATCAACTGACAACTTAGAACATGTAACAGGAGCTCATTTTAAATTTTAAAAGTCGTGTCCTTTACAATTGAAGTCAGCAACATAATGAAAAATGTAGTTTCAATATTTGTTTTTAGGTTTACAAGAAGCTAGGTCAAACTCATCTGGCTCTGATGAATTTCTCCTGGGCAATGGATTTAGACCCTAAAGGGGCTAACAACCAGATTAAAGAAGCAATTGACAAGCGTTACCTCCCAGATGATGAGGAACCCATAACTCAAGAAGAACAGATCAGTGAGTGTTATCCATATGAATCAGGTTTGTATTTCTAACCTCCAAACCAAAAAAGTGTGATGTATCACATGGGAATCAGTGTTGGGGTAAATGTTTAATATCTATGTTTTTGTGTGTGTGCCCAGGGTCAACAGCTAAGAAGGGTCTGAACCTAGATTTGAACTCTGGTCTTCCTGACTCCAAACCCAGCACTCTATCCACTGTGCCACCTAGCTGCCTTTAGATTTAGAACAGTTTTTTTGTTTGATTGTTTTTCAAGTCATGTCCAACTTCATGACAGAGATAGTAGGGTGGTTTGCCATTTCCTTCTCCAGCTCGTTTTCCAGGTGAGGAAACTGTGGCAAACGGGGCTAAGTGACTTGTGCAGGGTCATACAGCTAATAAGTGTATGAATCTGGATTGGAACTCAGGTCTTCCTGTCTCTAGGCCCAGCACTCAATCCACTGAGCCACCTATTTGCTCCTTTAGAACAATAATTTAATTAAAAAATGCCCTTAAGTTGATTGCTTTTTTCAAAGATCAACATGAAATCATCTATTAAGTACCATGCAGCTTTTTGGTACCACCAAATAATGGTGGATATTATATGCTCCTCTGAAGGTACCACTATGTAGGTTGATGAACATTAATAAATAGCTTACAACAGCCAAGTATATAAAATTCAGTTAAGGAGACATTATTTCTCCCTTGTTAGAGTGGGCAAGCATTGACTAGGATTTCTGCTTTGTTTTGTTTTTAACTTTTAGGGTAGCCATCAATAATAGTAGACATAAAATAGTATTTACAAAATTGTTTTTTAATTGAAATTTTAAAATAATAACTAGATCAACTAAGAAACCAACATTGTAAGAAACAAACACTGTTGAAGTATATTCCTATAGCATTTATTACCTGTATCACTCTTTTGACATTTTTTTGTATTGGTATTCTTCTTTTTAGATCCATCTGTACTGTTTTCCCAACTAGATCGTAAGGTCTTTGAGGGCAAGAATAATTTCATGTACCTTTTATATGTTCAGTTTGCTGTATTAAAACTCACACAGCATGAAATAGGAAAAGTACTTGATTTGGTGGTCAGAAAATCTCTACTTGCTAGTGATGTGACATTGGGCAAATCACTTAATCTCTTTCTGAATATGTTTCCCCATCTGTAAAATGAGTATAATACTGCTGCTGTGACATTCAAAAAGTTCAAAAAACATAGTTTCTGGGTAATTGTTTTTTAATAATGCTAGCAAATTGCCAATAAAAAGGACATTCTCGAATGCCAAAGACGCATCATAACTGTGGGCTCACAGTTTATATGCCCTTGGAAGAGTGGGTATTCCTGAGAGTGGCAATCATCTTTGGTTAACAATGAGAAGAATTAAGTATTACAATGAGCGGTGGACCTATTCTAATGAGGGGCTAGGGGTGTGACTGACTTTCTTTGATTACATCATTTACTTCTAAATTGCCCGCCTTGGGCAGTCTAATCAAATAATTTATTCCCACCCAAACCTGTGTAGAACACAGTGGACTTCCCCACCTGGATGGGGTCCTAACAACACTGAAGAGAAAGTTTGATCTCATTATCATTAGTGTCTTTCAGAGACTGAATAACCTGCAGGCTTCTGAAAAAAATCGTGGTCCTAATTCAACAATTGATTATTAATATGAGAAAGAAATGATTCTCTCACTGCTTACTGCATGGGTTGTTTATAAGGCACAAATGAGATAAAATATGTAAAATGTTTTATAAAATTTAAAGCATATAAAATTTGCTATAATTATTATTTTACTAGAGTTTTATGAAAATGCTATTGTATAAAAAAATCTAGTTGATAGGAAGTTAGTTTTTTTTAAACAATGTTTACTATAAATACAATGTATCTCATTTTTAATAGTTTCCCTTCTGTTAAGGCAAAACTCTGCTTTAACCAAGTAACCCCAGAAACCTCAGATACCTCTCCCAGAGAGAATTTGCTTGAAGGTGGTTACCTATCCAGAGTCATCAGAAGAGAAGACAAAGCAGGGATTCATATCCCCTTGCTGTTTGTTTGTTTTAATAGACATTCAAGTAAAGGGCTTTGAATTTCATATCTGACAGAGAAGAAAGTGTTTTCTATACATTTTTCTTTACTTCCTTGAACTCACTAGCCTTTCTTATCCTCACAGTAAACCCCGAGGTCACCTCTCTTTGACATGCTATCCTTGAGTTTCTTAAAGGATAACTTAGTAATCCTCTCTAATTGTATTCAAAAGAATTCTACTTTTATGCAAGGAAGGCAAACATTTAAATATTTGTGTTAGGGTTTTCTTTCATTTTGTCTCCATCTAATACTGCTTATTTGACTTGTTTTCATAATAACAGAGGATATATTTGTTAGATAGCTTACTACTGATTACGTGTGGTTTTTTTTTTGTTGTTGTTGTTGTTGTTTTTGTTCTTAAAGTGGGAACAGATGAATCCCAAGAGAGCAGCATGACAGACGCAGATGACACACAACTCCACGCAGCAGAAAGTGATGAATTTTAACTTCTGGAAGCCAAACATTTGCACCTGGATGTGTGACTAGTGCTGTTATTTTTTCTTGTCCCTCCATGTTCTGAGTCTTCACATCTTGAGCCAGCATTGTCATTGTCCATCACTTACACCAGGAGTGTGCTATTTTCAACGGACCCAGACTGTACATGGAATGTATGAATGGCAGTGCAATATTCACGTGCTACCAAGACTGGCTCTTTCACCTATACAAACACAACAGTTTGTGGGGGAAAGACTATTTTTCTTTTGTCGTTTTTGTTTGTTTTTTTTTAATTCTAATTTTTTTTTTTAAAGCCTCCCTTTGTTGGAAAGCTATCATGTAAGGAAGAGTTGTGTTTTGCCCTAAGGGAAATAGTGATGAACCAGAATTCTTTGATCTTTCTCCAGAAACTTGTCTTAATTTAGTTGTGTTCTTGGTAAGTGGAGTGACTGACCTTCATTTTCCAGGTTCTTCAAGGATGGTGTTGGCAAGTGCTAGATGGAACAATAAAAGACATTGCCTATTACAGAGTAACTTGAATGCCAAGGAATGTAAATTACCTTAAAGTTACAGTGTCTCCTATAAACAAATATGGGCATAATCCAGACACCTGTGCGTGTAAGAATAAAATGTCCCTCCATACAGTGTAAACTTGCTCTTGGTAAGAGGAGAATGTCCCAGAACAGCAGCTTTTACAAAATGTTTTTATACCTAACCAAGAGTTTTCAATTTTTTCACCTAGCTTCAAAGTATCAATCACTGTTGTTTTGGTATTACAGATTAAAAAGTTGGTTGTCACCTCTTAAGCCCTGTGGGATCACCTTTAACATTCAGAGATAGGGTAGTTGCCTATTAAAAGATCAAACCAAGTCCCCTAATAGGAAATAAAATTCATAATAATAAACAGTATACAAACACTAAATCAATCTAGAATCTAAGGGATCATGACAGTGGAAGCCTTAATATAATTAGAACCTTTACCATCAACTTGAATCTATATTGTTCAAGACAGTATCCTTTCAACTTTTATAAGTGTTGTTTAAGCAGGATGCAAGAATGTGCAATTAATTTTGGGTTGTGGTAGTATCCATTTTTAAGGTTCTCTGCTTCTAATTCATTTTCAGTGGCATAGGTCACCAAGACGTCAGTTTGGAGTAGGTTAGATTTAGGCCACTAGAAATTTTTAGTTGAAACAAACATAAGCCGAATGAAGGGGGCAGAAGTTCTCGCCTGTGTCAAAGTAATGTACAGCAATTTAGGTTGATGGTGTCCTTGGGGAATGGATATTAGTTTATGATATTACAGGATTTTAAAGAGCCAATTATGCACAATAAATTGGGAATGATTGAAATTTCACAACACCCTATTTAAGTAGTCTTTAAACATGTGTTCCTCCTTTATTTTAATGTATGTAATTTTTAGGGGACCTTTAGTTATTAACATTTTTTAATTTAGTGCCATTGTCATAGTGTATATCAAATGACAATTTCTTAATGACAGGAGTAGATACAGTTTGGGGTCATTTTGATGAAGGAGAAACTTATCAACCATTGACTTGTACTTGCTAACAAAGCTGTGAAAATTAGGTGGATTATAGGAGATATGAAAATTTTTTAATCTATGGATTTATTAATGTTAGAATTCGAGTAGACTTTTCATTCACTGTTTGTCTGCTCTTTTAAACATGCACTAAATCCTATTGCCAATTAATGCAAGTCAGAGTACTAGATAAAGGTGTTTGGTGCCAGAGAGGTATTTCATCAAATTTTTCTACTTGATCCATATATAAGCATAAGCTTCTTGAGAAAATTGATGAGGAAACCCAGATTGAATGAAAGGAGCACCACTGAAATTTCCCAAGGGCTGCTGTTTGGATTTCTAGCAGAGTATTGCATTTTGTTATCCACTTGTAATTCTGTAGCATTTAAATTTAGTTTAGGTTTTTCCCCCTATTGCCCAGCCTTAAACCATCTATCTCATCTAGTATTTCATAGAAAGTTTTGAATAGGGGTATTGTTGCAAAACCCCACACTGTACTGTTTGGAGAAAGTGAAGTTAGTAACATTATTTTCTAAACTACAATTGGATACCTTTCTGTACTGGAAGTTTATATCCACTACACCAAAGGTAGAAATCTTTCTGGTGCTAGTCCATTGGAGATGAGTGGAAAATGGTCATTGTCAAGGGCATACCATGACTGTGGAAGGGAATCCATCAATTTTGTTGGGATCAATCTTAATTTCTTTCTTCCTTAAGCCAGTTTTCAAAGCCATTTCATTCTATGGAGCTTTTCCCCACCCAGCAACAGTTTCTAATTCTTTCCCTTACCCTAGTTCCCTTCCTCCTTCAAATAATAGGTAGAAAAGGAAGTTATGAAAAAAAACCCAAAGAAGAAACTCATTTTTATTGAACAAAAAGTTGTTTCAAACAACTATAGTTCATTTAGAAGAAATTTTTTAAACTAAATTACTAAGTATAACTTAACAGTTTCCTTTTTTTCTGTTATATGTATTTTTAATTTTGTTCAGAAGTTACAAGTTGTTACATTGGAATTCAGTTTTGAAAAATTGCCTTGGAAAGGGTTCTTAAACCCAGGAATTTTAGAAGGGTAGGAATTCTTCTAAAGTGGATGTGGTACTCAATAATGAAAGATGGTCCCTGCTTTCTCCATACTTCATTACTTAAGAAATTTTATTTTTTCCAAGAGCTAAACGTAACCTTTGAACCATGCTGCTGTTGTACCTTAAACAAAAAAACTCGGTGATAACCAGTATTTAGTCTGTTAAAAACACTTTGAAGAAAATAGTTTGGAGGTCTCTGATCTGGAGCATAGTATGGGTATTCACTGAGGAATAAGGTGACTCATTTTCTTAATACAAAACATGACAACATGGTGGGGGGGTGGGGAGGGTGGGGGAGGGAGGGGTGCAAGTGTGGGTGTGATGTGTACTATTTGCATTGAAACAATGTAATTTTGTGTCTTTCCTTTTTGCTTTTCTTGACTTATTTCAGAAATTGTACAGTCTTTGGGGGGGGAAAGTCTTTTCTGTTAATATATTTGCAATTCATTAAAGGATGTGAAAAATCCAAATAAATTACTTTTAAAAACAGTTTATAATCAAGTTGTTAAAGCTGCAAAAACACTGCTATCTGTATTTTAGAACAAGGCACAGTGAAAAATAATCGTGAAATTGGACTGTTTCGTTTCCTACAAAATGTTAGACCTAATTAATAGATTTGAACATAAAATAACTGATATTAATTTTTGTTCCCAGTAAATGTTAGTGTACCCACTTGCCACCATTAGTTAGCCTTATTTCTAAGGGAGTCTTAGTTCTTAGGATCACCTATTCCACCAATATAGGGCTAAAATATAACCTTTTTAAAAGGATATATTAGTCAGAAACTTCATAGAAACAGAGATAATAAAGTATAAGAGTATATTCCACAATTAAAGATGGTTATGATATCAAAATATAAAGTACTAACTAAAATGGTCTGAAAAGTACTAGAGACTTGAACCAGAGGAACAGGATGGAATTTCTAAAGAGGTCATCCTGTGCCCAGGGAAATAGGAAAAAGAAGACTTAGAGAAGGATTTGTTAGGAAGGAACGCTGGTAAGGGAGGGAATTCCAGCTCTTGAAAAAGTCAGTCTGGGGCAGCTAGGTGGCACGGTGGATAGAGCTCCGGCCTTGGAGTCAGAAGGACCTGAGTTCAAACCCGGCCCCAGACACTTGACAAGTACTAGCTGTGTGACCCGGGGCAAGTCACTTAACCCCGATTGCCTCACCAGAAAGGGGAAAAAAAGTCAATCACAAGAGACACAGGCATATATTTCCCAGGAAAGAACAAGGTCAAGGGGAGAAGGAGAAGGGAAGTACAATTTTAGAGACACTATGCTCAACCCACTGCCACCCAAAACCTCCAACCTTAGTGTTGCTAAAAATCCTTTGGATTGCTATTTGCTAATAAAAAATTTCAGTCCATAAATCTGTAATAACAATTGAGAGAAATAAGACTTTGAAAATATTCAGGAAGCACCTCTTAGATTCTGGGGATACAAAGACAAAAATTAAAACTTCAAGGAACTGGTGGGGGAAAGCATCATATACACAAATAAATACAAATTATGAAAGTAATTGGAGGAGTGATATAGAAGGGCCTCATAAAGGAGGGAACACCCCACCTGAGCCTTGAATAGAGCTGGGAAATTCCAAGAAGTGGGATAGTAGAAGGAGAACATTCCTAGGCATGGGGGATAACTGATGCAAAGGCACGAAGGAGAAGAGATGTCACTTATGGGGAACAGCAAGTGAGCCAGTTTGGCTGGAATGTAGGGTTGGGAGGAGAGGGGATGTTATGTGAAGTAAATATGGAAAGGTAAGCTGGAGTTAGATTGTGAAGGACTTTAAATACCACAGGGGTTTCTAGTTTATCCTAGAAACAATAGAGGACCACTGATGCTTTTTGAGCAGGAGATTGACACAGTCAAACCTGGAGTTTAGGAAGGTTATTTTGGCAGCTATATGGAAGATGGATTGGAGAGGGGAGAGACTGGAAAGAGGGAGATCCATTAAAGGGCTCCTACAGTTATCCAGGTAAGAGTTGAAGAGGAAAGTTTGGGTCGTGATTGTGTGAGTGGAGAGACGGTGACAGCAGCAAAACGTGGTAGAAGAATCAACAAAATTTGGCAACTAATTGGATATGAGCACCAGGGATAGATAAAAGTTGAGGATAACCATAGCAAACATGGTTGACAAGAAAGAATGGTGTTATCCTCTACAGCGGAGGTGTCAAACATGAAGCCCACAACACTCCCAAGTGCTACCTGAACCAGACTGAAATGTAATTGGGAAATATTTAACAAAATAAAAATACTTTAAGACAAATAATGTTAACATGGTTTTCCAAGTTAATGTGTGATCTGCAGAGATCCTTGTAATATGGTTTAATGGTCCCCTTTTCTATTTGAGTTTTGACACCACAGCTCTACAGGAATAGGATAGTTAGGAAGAGAAACTGGTTTAGATAATGAGTTCCATTTTGGGTATGTTGAGTTTGAGCTGCCTTTGGAATATCCAGGTAGAGCTGTTCAGCAGGCAGTTGATGGGGGGCGCTGGAGCTCATAAAAGAGATGAAAGTTGGATATGTAGCTGAATGAATGGACGGCTGAATATATGAACACTTACTAAGCAATTACTATGTAGTAGGCCTAAAATTAATCTATCTAGAAATGATTACTGAACTCACCAGAGTTGTTGAGATCACAAAGAATGTAGTGAGAGACAAAAAGAACTCTGGGACACTCCTGCACATAGGAGTCAGGAAATGGAACGATGATAAAGCAAAGGAGATTGGGAGATTCTATCAGACAAAAGTAGTGAGTAGTATCATGAGAGTATTGGGGAAGAGGAGGTGGTTAGCTGTGTGGAATGCTACAGAGAGGTCAAATGAAGACCGAGAAAATGTCTTTGGATGTACCCATTGAAATTTTTATTAACTTTGGAGAAAGTTTCAGGTGGTGGGGATAAAAGGGGTTTAGGAATGAAGCATGAGGAGGAGTAGGTCATGAGTATAGAAAACTTTTCCTAAGAGTTTAGCAGTGAGAGGGAGGAGAGATACAGAGCTTAAAGCAGGGATTCTTATACTTTTTTGTGTCATGGACCCCTTTGGCAAACTAGGGAAGCCTGTGTAATGTTTTAAGATGTATAAAATACATGGAATCACCCAAAAAGCCAATTACATTGGAATATAGTTATTAATTTTTTTAAAACAAGTTTATAGACCCCAAGTTTAAAACCACTTTAACCTATAAAGAGATGGTAGCGTCAAATGCAGGTCTTTTAAGAATGGAGGAGGGAATGGGATCAAGGACACAAGTAAAGGTATTGACTTCTTCAAGAGCCATCTTTTTCTTGGACTGGAGCAGAAAGAGAATGGGAGATGTTGAGAGGATTTGAGGCATAAAATTAGGGAGACTAGGGTGCTCATTTTGTCTTTAAAGTATAAGGCGATAACTGCTGAAAAGAAGGGGGAGAGTTGGTGTGGGTGATGAGAAAAGAGGGTTGGAATACAAATTATTGGAAGCATGATAATCAGGGAAGAGTAAAAAGATTACAATGCAGCAGTTAGTGCCCAGTTAAAATTTTTAGCGAACCCAGACAACAGCTGAATGTTTCCCTTGAGAAGCATTCAGTAGCATGCGATTAGGAACACATAACATATAGTGAGGGCAATCCAGGGTTCAGGTTTGGCAAAGGACAACCTAGGATTCGAGGACAGAGGACAGTGTAGTTGAACTAGTTAATTCTAGCATCAAAATTGCAAATGGAGGGAAATGAGACCATACCAGGGATGATGGACTGGAAAAGGAGGGAGGAGGTGGAGTGATAGGAGGTTGCAGTGAAGATGATTTTTTTTCCCTTTAACAAGTATTTTCTTTCCCACCCACCCCCAAGTTAAAAGGGAAAAAAAAATAAAACAAATATTCATAGTCAAGCAAAACATTCCCACATTGTCATATCCAAAAATTTATATCTTATTCTGTAACTTAAATCCATCGCTCTTTGTCAAGAAATGTGTAGCATAGATCATTATTCCAACTATTGCTACCTTTATCTAATCATATTCTTCAGAGTTCTTGGTCATAAAAAAGTGAAACATTTATGGTTGATGGCAAGATCAAGGATATGACCTCCTGTGGTATAAAAGAGTGGCTATAGGAATTAAATAAATTGAGGAATGGAAAGTTACAGTGTTTGAGGGAACATCACCATATATATTGAAGTCCCCCTAGTATGAAGGCAGGAATTGAGGTGGAGAGCGAAATTATGGGCTGAGCACTGAACTCATCGAGAAAAAAAGGGCGAATGTTCTCAATGTTGGTAAAAAGCCTCCAGGATCTGGATTGAGTGATAAATTTAGATATGAACCTTGAAGGAGAAGAGGTTGCTAAATAATGGCAGTAGAGAGATAGCTTGGAAATGGCAATGGGGAGCAAAGAGCATTCTGAATCCTCTTAGAGGACTAAATGAAGAGGAGATGCATCTAATACTGAACAAAGGTATATGTTGGCTAAGGTGAAGTGAGCATGCAAATAATGCAATCTAAGGAAGTTGATGAACTGAGAAACAGGAGTATTTGAGGGTTATCAATATATAAATTAAGTTCCCAAATATAAGGTTTGAGGTAGAGAGGAAGACTGTGGGCCAAATACTAAATTCAGGCAGATAACGTATAAAAAAAATTTTTCCTGTTTTGACTGGGTAAAGGAAATAAAGAGATCATGAAGGCTACTGAAAAAAGACAAAGAAAAGGGAAGCCAGGAACACAGAAGATAAACCTCCCAGATTTGATGACTATCTGGTTGTTCTACCTTCAAGTGGATGGAATTAATAGGAGCTGCACACTGGGTTTTTTTTTATTACATCATAACTGCTAAAGTAATTATGTCTCATGGTTGGAGAAAATTCTCAGATGCAATGAGAGTAAGGCATTCTGAGTTAATACTACTACATACTACCTTCAGGGGGCCCAAATGTCAAAGGTGCAAAGAAAGACCATTACAATAAGTCTAAGGATACTTGGGGGTACTGACCCTCTCCAGCAGAAAGCATGACTATTCTGTCCTTTTTTAAGTGACAACTATAAAGCATAATTAACTGGGCTATTCACTTGATAAACAATCCAGGCCTCTTTTAATTTAGCTCTTTAAAAAAAATTGTTTGACTGCCACAAGGAAGGTTTAATATCCTTTATTGTGGAAAAAGCTCTGAGAAAAGATTTGATGAGAGTTTGTTATGCCTGTGGATGAAAGTAACCTGTTTTCTTTTCCTTTAGGGAATATAGCTTTAACTAGGGTGACCAAGGCTTTGACCCAACTACTGAATTAA